AGCTCCACACCATGGGTGTGCATACAGGTGTGTACTCAGGGTGTGCACATTAGCATGGTGTACAGCAACAAGATGGAGACCATCTAAACATCCATCAACAGTCCACCTCTCTCCACTACAATGGAGTTCTATGCCATCTGGGAGAGGTTGATGCAGTCTGGATATGCGGGGACATGAAGTAAAGTCATAAGACCCAAAACAAACAGTCTACCAAATAGAATACACCAATAATTTCATTTTTATTTAAAGAATTTAGAAGGATGAAGAGGGGGAAAATATCAGTGAATAAACAATAGACCATGGTGACCCCGTGGCTAAACGCTGGGCTGCTAAGTGACAGACTGACAGTTGGAACAGTTCCACAGGAGAAGGATGTAGCCGTCTGCTTCTGTGATAAGATGCGTTGTTGTTGTTGTTGTTGCTAAGTGCCGTCGAGTCCATTCTGACTCATAGCAATCTGATAAGGAGTGGCTGGTGAGTTTGAACCGTCAACCTTGCAGTTCAAACACCTTGAGGACCAGTGCTTATCCTAAAGTGCCACACCAGAACTTCCCTGTAAAGATTGTTGTTGAGTGCCGACCAGTCGGTTGCAACTCATAACAACCCTGTATAGGGTTTCCCAGGAGCAACTGGTGGATTTGAACCGCTGATCTTGTGGTTTGCAGTCCAGTGGTGATCCGCTAGCCCCAGCCTGGGAAATCCTATGAGATTTCCACTGTCACATCGGATTGCTAAATCAGAATTTATTCTACCGCAACTGGTTACCTTTGGGCTAAGGAATTACAGATGATTTTATGTTTGTTTTCTTTCAATCTTTTATGTGTTTTCCAAGTTTTTAAAAATTGTGCATATATTGTTTCTTGACCTTAGGATAAACATGTATTTTTAAAGTGCACAAATATCCTCATAAGGAATAAGGAGCAATGAGAGTGGAAGGCACAGTAAGAAATGAGGGAGGAGGAGAGAGCCAGTCAAGGAGAGACTTAAAGGACTAGAAATGCAAACTGGTTGGGGTCCAGCCTCCTCCCACCCAGAGTCTAGCTGTGAGATCTGGCCAGGTCCCTGCTCTCTCTGGGTCTCTGTTCCTGGCCTACACCAGCGCTTTAGGATCCCTGCTCCTAGCAGCGTGGCCCCCGAGCTTGCAGAGATGCGGAGGCGGGAGCGGTCCTGCTGCCCCTGAGGAAGGGGTGGGGCTGGGAGCCCAGGGAGAAAGGCGCTGACCTGAAGCCCGACCCTTGGGCCTTGATGGAGGCGTGGGGAGATAAGGGGTCGCGCGCAGGCGGAGCCTCCTTGGCTGTGGGCCCTGCCGGCGCGGGGGCGGGACCTAAAGCGAACTGGAAGCCGGTGGCTGGGCTGGATAGGAGAGTAAACAGAATCCTGCTCTGCTCCTGCCACAGGTAAACAGCCCTTCTCCCGCTCGGCCCCTGGGGGAGGCCCTTCTCCATCCTGTCCCGGTGGTGGAGGCTTTTCTCTCTGGACCCCACCTCTCCATTTAAGGGATGGTGGATCCTCTCCAAGGCCCCATACCCGGTCCCAGGGGCACAAACCTTCCCTGGTGAGCGTTTCCTTGCCACCTGGTCCACCCAGGGAGACTAGAGACATTGGGTGACAGAGAGGGTATGATCCTAAGCAAAATGACTCAGTACAGGCTGAATTGTAAGAAGCTGTCCTTATTTGAGAAGAAGCACAAAGCTGTTGTTGTTGTTAAGTGCTATCCAGTCAGTTCTGACTCATAGCACCCTGTACTGGGTTTCTGAGGAGTGACGGATGAATTTGAACCACCGACCTGGAGGTTTAAACCAACCTTGCATTTTCTAGTAGTAGCTGGTGGGATTGAACCGCTGACCTTGAGATTAGTTTATCCTATAGCACCACATCAGAGCTCCAGCACAAAGCTAGGGCTGTGGAACCTACCCGGGTTGGAACTATGGGATGAGGCTCCCGTACTTCCTTCCGTGTGTCCTGGGGGGGCCCCAACGTCTCTGATCCCAGTCCTTCCTCCAGAATGGGAGTCACAATGTGCGGTATCACCCGGCGAGGCGGCTGTGAGGCGGCTGTGAGGCAGCTGCCTAGCAGCGACCTGTGAACCTTGATCTTAAGTGGAGGTTTAGCACAGACACAGACGGACCCCTAGAACCGAATGGTTGTCTGACCAGCCTTGGTCTGTGATCACCTCTTCTGCCTGCTTGGCCCCTTCCCCCACACCCCATGTTTCCTTAGTCCCACTTCCCCCCACTTTTGAGGGGCTCCTTGCCCCTCAGATAGACCTGCTGGACCCACAATTTCTGTTCCCCTCCAGGCAGAGCCCTAAGCAGAATGGAACCTGATGCCAGGCTGACAGGGCCACAGGTTAAACTTTCCAAGGGAGGGCTTTCCTGGTTAGCATTGATTTTTATCGTGGGCCTTGCTTTCCTGAATTTGTTCTTTGTCCTCCACCCCCCATCTCCCTCAGGAGTGGAAGGGCAGAATGTGAGGTGGGTGGGGCAGACAGGTATAATTCAGTTTTATTGTTAGATGGGTTAAGTCTCAAGTGAAACAGGAAACTGAAAGGAATTTTAATTATGGCTAGAGAATAACTTCATTTCAACTAATATAGAAACTTCTTTTAACACCCTTTAAATTTCAATTAATAAATATTATTTGTTGTTGTTAAGTGCCGTGGAGTCCATTTCAACTCTCAGCAACTCTGTATAGGGTTTCTGAGGAGCAGCTGGTGAGTTTGAACTGCCAACCTTGTGTTTTAAACTGACCTTTAGGTCCAGTGCATTTTATCCTGCAGCACCACACCAGGACTCCAATAAATATTATTTACTCATTGTTTGGTGTGGTGCTGTGGGATAAAACACTGGACCAAAAGGTTGGTTTGAACCACAAGGTCGGCAGTTCGAACTTTCCAGCTACTCCTCAGAAACCCTATACAGGGTTGCTATGAGTCGGAACCGACTCAACGACACTTCACAACAATAACAACAAATATTATATGGAGTCCTAATGTGGTGCTCAACAGCACTTGACAACAACAACAAAAACAATTACATACTGATTAAATTTGCATAGTTCTTGCTTTAATAGCCCACAGTGTTCTGAGGGTCATGTTGTTATGTACCATGGAGTCGGTTCTGACTCATAGCAACCCTGTACAGGGTTTCCGAGGCTGAACTCTTTATGGGAGCAGAAAGCCTCATCTTTCTCCCACGAACATTTGATAGTTTCGAACTGCTGACCCTGAGGTTCACATCCCGATTCGTAATCACTAAGCTACCAGAGTTCTGAGGGTCATATCCAATAATAAACAATGTTGTTGTTGTTAAGTGCGGTTCAAACCAACTTTGCAGTCTAGCGTATTAACCCACAGCATAATTCCGTATAATATTTGGTGGTTATGTGCCATGGACTCATAGCAACCCTTTACAGGGTTTCCGAGGCTGTAAATCTTAATGGGAGCAGAACGCCTCATCTTTCTCCCATGGAACAGCTGGTAGTTTTGAACTGCTGACCTTGCGGTTCACAGCCTGATTCGTAACCACTATACTACCAGAGCTCCTTATATAACATTTGGTTGGTTGGTTATGTGCTGTGAAGTCGGTTCCGACTCATAGTGACCCTGTACAGGATTTCCGAGGCTATAAATCTTAATGGGAGCAGAAAGCCTCATCTTTCTCCCGTGGAACAGCTGGTAGTTTCGAACTGCTGATCGTGAGATTAGCAGCCCGATTCATTAACCACTACCTACCAGAGCTCCTTTATTTAGCAGTATACAAATAAATATTTTATACTGCTTAGATTTGCATAGTTCTTATTTTAAAGCCTACCATGTACTGAGGGTCATCGCCAATAATAAACAGACCTGTCCTTTCAGCCAGAGTCCCTGATGGTGCAAACAATTAACCTCCTTACTTGCTAACTAAAAGTTTGGCAGTTCAAGTCCACCCAGGGGCCCTCAGAAAAAAGGGCTGGCAATCTACTTCTGAAAAAAATCAACCACTGGAAAGCTTATGAATTCTGCTGTTATACCCATGGGGTCACCAAGAATTGGGATCCACTTGTCAGCCAGTAGTTTGGTCCTCCCAGCCGCTGGCAGATTTGCTGCGTCCCTGGAGAAGCCCAGTAGGGCTGGGCCTCGCTGATTCTTGAGAGTACTGTCAACTCTGATGTTTGGGGTGGGATGTGTCAGGCTTTTTATATGTACAGTCTATTCATTCAACATAACCCTGAGGCATTTCATATTTAAGGAAACTGAGGCATAGAGATGTGGATAGCCACTGTCTCAGAAAGCACATCCCTGGCTCAGAGCCCCTGTGGTTTCCCCTCTCCTTGGTCAAGTCTTAAGAAGCCTTTGTGGAAATGTCTCTCCTTCTCAGTGTATCATTCAAGTTACTTACTGAGCTGCTCAGGCCTAATTGTAGACATCAGGGACATAGCAATGAATGGAACAGAAAACAATCCCTGCCCTCATGGTATTGCGGGAGACACAGACAATAAACACGTATGCTAGCAAGCATGTTGGTGTTGTTAAGTGCTGTCAAGTCGGTTCCAACTCATAGCATCCCTGTATAGGGTTTCCAAGGAGCAGCTAGTGAGCTTGAACCACTGATCTTGCGGTTCAAACCAACTTTGCAGTCCTGTGCATTAACCCGCAGTGCCACACCAGGACTCCAAGCAAGTAAATATAGTATTTGATATGTCAGATGGAGAGAAATAAAGCAGGGTCATGGGATAGAGAGCGCTGAGGGATGCAGAAGTTGCAGTTTTATCAAGTGTGGTCAGGGAAAAACCTTGCTGAAAAGGTGGCATTTGAGTGAAGAGGTGGTGGAGTGAGCTGGCAGACTATTACTGGGTGGAATTGGAACATTCTTCAGAGCCCTTTTACCCCTTACAATCTATATTCTAGGGGTGACATCACTTTAAGCTAAAGTTATGGACTGTGTGGACTAACGGGTCCTTACATGACACCTTGCCACCTCTGACTTGCTCACCCTGGTTCTCCTCTCTCTCTCTAGTCAGCATGCTGCGTTTCGTGGTACCCCGGCTGCCTTGCCTCCTCCGAAGTAAGTCTGCCCCATACTCCTCAGCTGCAACACTCCCAAGCCCCATCCCAAACCCAGACATCCGCTACAACCAACTGTTCATCAACAATGAGTGGCAAGATGCAGTCAGCAAGAAGACCTTCCCAACAGTCAACCCCACCACCGGACAGGTCATTGGGCATGTGGCTGAAGGAGACCGGGCTGATGTGGACCTGGCTGTAAAAGCAGCCCGAGAAGCCTTCCGCCTGGGGTCACCATGGCGCCGGATGGATGCCTCTGAGCGCGGTCGGCTGTTGAACCGCCTGGCTGATCTCGTGGAAAGGGATCGTATCTATTTAGCTTCACTGGAGACCTTAGATAATGGGAAACCCTTCCAAGAGTCTTACGTTTTAGACCTGGATGAGGTCATCAAGGTGTACCGGTACTTTGCCGGTTGGGCTGACAAGTGGCATGGCAAGACCATTCCCATGGATGGTGAGCACTTCTGCTTTACCCGGCATGAGCCCGTCGGTGTCTGTGGTCAGATAATCCCCTGGAACTTCCCCTTGGTCATGCAGGGCTGGAAGCTTGCCCCAGCGCTCGCTACAGGTAACACCGTGGTCATGAAGGTCGCAGAGCAGACCCCCCTTTCTGCTCTATACTTGGCCTCCCTCATCAAGGAGGCAGGCTTTCCCCCTGGAGTGGTGAACATCATCACCGGCTACGGCCCCACGGCAGGAGCAGCCATCGCTCAGCACATGGATATTGACAAAGTTGCCTTTACTGGTTCCACCGAGGTGGGTCACCTGATCCAGAAGGCGGCTGGTGATTCTAACCTCAAGAGAGTCACCCTGGAGCTGGGTGGGAAGAGCCCCAGCATCGTGTTGGCTGATGCTGACCTGGGCCATGCCGTGGAGCAATGTCACGAGGCCCTCTTTTTCAACATGGGCCAGTGCTGCTGTGCGGGTTCCCGAACCTTTGTTGAAGAATCCATCTATGATGAGTTTCTCGCAAGAACCGTGGAGAAAGCCAAGCAGAGGAAAGTTGGGAACCCCTTTGAGTTGGATACCCAGCAGGGGCCCCAGGTGGACAAGGAACAATTCGAACGAATCCTGGGTTACATCCAACTTGGCCAGAAAGAAGGTGCAAAGCTCCTCTGTGGTGGGGAACGTTTTGGAGAGCAAGGCTTCTTCATCAAGCCCACGGTCTTTGGTGGTGTGCAGGATGACATGAGGATCGCCAAGGAGGAGATCTTTGGGCCTGTGCAGCCCCTGTTCAAGTTCAAGAAGATTGAGGAGGTGATTGAGAGAGCTAACAATACCAGGTATGGCTTGGCTGCTGCCGTGTTCACCCGGGACCTGGACAAAGCCATGTATTTCACCCAGGCACTCCAAGCCGGGACAGTTTGGGTGAACACCTACAACATCGTCACCTGCCACACACCGTTTGGGGGTTTCAAGGAATCTGGCAATGGAAGGGAGCTGGGAGAAGATGGGCTTAAAGCCTACACAGAAGTGAAAACAGTCACCATCAAGGTTCCTCAGAAGAACTCTTAAGAATTGCCAGCATGAGACCCAGCTACAGTCCAGGGATTCCACAATCACCTAGTCCAGTCCTTGCCAAGCTTTTTAAAGTCCTCCACTCCCTTTCTTTGTTCCAAATGAACTCTTAAAGGGAACCCCAACAATTAAAATCAGAGCCGTTCTATTTAAAGCAGATATGGTGGTACCCAGAGCCCTATGATCTGGACCCCAATCAGTCCCTCTGATGTCTCTGAGTCACATTCATGAAAACTTAAGAGTATCTGGAAGACAAATTACAAATATTTGAATAATGACTTTTAGTTACTCTTGCTTGATCCACAGACTTTTCCAATGAGTTAACTTGATAGGTTAGTGTGTATATTCAACTCAGACATAGAATTGGAAGACATTAGAAGGTTTAAACTATGTGGACACCGACTCTTGGCTCCATTCTTTATTGACTTAATCCAAACATTAGCAGTGATCTTCCTTTTCTAAGTATCAGTTGCTGCCTGTTTTGCTTACTTGCACTTCATTTTGCTATTAATTTTCCTTAATTTCAGAGCATACACTTGCATAATCAAACTCAAACAACCCAAATTTCCCCCACCTGGACAAGCAAACTGTGGTAGATACACATAGTGGAATATTATTAGGCCATGAAAAGGAATGAAGTCTTGCCATACCATGGATGAAACTTGAGAACATTCTGTTGAGTAAAGGAAGCAGTCCAGTCAGAAAAGACCACATATTGCATAATTCCATTTATTTGAAAATGTTCAGATAGGCAAATCCATAGACAGAGAACATAGACTATGAGATTGAAAGAGAGGAAAATGAATGGCTGTTAATGGGGACACATTTTCTTTTTTAGGGTGATGAGAATGGTCCAGCATTAGATAGTGGTGTTGGTTGTACAACTTTGTGAATGTACTAAAACTCAGTGAGTGAATTATACGCTTTAAAAGGATGAATTTTTATGGCATGTGAATCGTATCTGAATTTAAAAATAAATGAATAAATTCATACATCTGTTTGCATATTCACTTATGTCTCAATGTTCTATTGCTACTGAACATTTTAGTGTCTTGAAGATGGAAGAAACCCTGGTAGTTTCCTGGTAACCCCCACAGTAAGTCTCCACAATTATTTATTCCTGTCTTTTTCTTGGCTGAAATTTCACTTCAAGGCTTCCATTGGCATTGTCCCCCAGCTCCATACCACCCTCAAACCAAGTCCACTATTGTGGCCACCCTGACAATCCTGAAAGTTCCCAAAATTTCAAACCTCAGAGCTCATTGTATCTATTGTTGGTCTTATCACTTTTATTCCCCAAATGATAGGAGTGAAGGTCAATCCAATCCAGCCAGGCCAGACCCAGAAGCAGATTAATGACCTCATCTCTCTGTGTTTTCTAACCTCCTGGGTCACATTTGTTGTTGGGATATGCCGTAGAGTTGGTTCTGACTCATAACAACCCTCTATAGGGTTTCTAAGGAGTGGCTGGTGAGTTTGAACTGCCGACCTTTAGATCCAAACCAACCTTGCAGTCTAATACTTATCCTACAGTGTCACCCCAGGACAAACTAAATCACACTACTCACAAACAAGTCCACCTCCAGGTCCACTCAGTCTTGTGCATGTCCACCCCAATTGTCTCTTTCATACCCCACTATCCCATCTGGGCAGCCAGATGATTTTGTTCATCATCTAAATAGGTTTGACCTTAACTGCTCCCTGAGAATTCAAGGGCTGTCCCATCTCCTCATATCCCTAACCTAGGACCTCCTATCTGTCCAAGACTGAGGTGACCCTGACTCTCCCCAAAGTGCACCTCCTATCAGAACTCTGGGAAGCTGCTGGCACTTCTACACATAATAAATGGGCTGGGGAAGGAGAGGGAGATTCTCCAATAACTACCCAGCAACATCACAGCATTTTGGCAAATTGATTCCGTATTTGCTTCTCAGTGCTTTTAAACTAAAGAGGAATTTAGCAGAGCGTGTCTCAGTATGGAGTGGAGTTGGGAAAAAGACAGTCCCATGCCAGTAATCGTTAGGTCCATCACTCATCTGTCAGTTTGTCCTACTGTGGTAACTTGCATGTTGCTATGATGCTGGAAGCTATGCCAAATACCTGTAGGGTCACCCATGGTGGACAAGTTTCAGGGTCACTGTGAGTTGGAACTGACTTAAAAGCACTTAACAACAGCTTCCTAAGCAGCTGCTTTCCCAGGTATCACAGACAACGGTTTTATCAAATACATCACCATAGGTCACAACAGTGACCAGCTTTTCAGCCTGCAATATCTATCTGTGCCTCTCCACTTGTCTCCCAATTCTTATGCTTATGCCCTTAACATTAGAATAATTAACACTTGCCACCCTGGTGTGGTGCTGTGGGTTAATGCGCCAGACTGCAAAGCTGTTTGAACTGCAAGATCGGCAGTTCAAGATCACCATCTGCTCCTCAGAAACCCTCTATACAGTGTCGCTATGGAGCTCTGGTAGCGTAGTGGTTACGAATCGAGCTGTGAACCTTAAGGTCAGCGGTTCGAAACTACCAGCCGCTCCGAGGGAGAAAGATGAGGCTTTCTACTCCCGTAAGGATTTACACCCTCGGAAACCCTGTACAGGGTCGCTATGGGTCGGAACCGACTCGACGGCACTTAACAACAACAACAATGGGGTGGAAATAGACTCGATGGCACTTAACAACAACAACTATAGTAAGCTACCCCAATTTTTAGTAGCTCAACACAACAGGACTGTATTTCACTCTCTCATGAAGTCTGTCATTGCAGAGTGGGATCAGGTGCTGATAGATGAAAGTCCTCCACACTGTCATTCAAGGACCCAGGCTCTTCCAGCTCTGTTAATTACATTTTATTACACAAGCAAACAACTTGGCCACCCAGAGTTTTATAAGTGATACCAGGTATGTCCACACAGTGAACAATTAGCACAGGCTGTGCCACCCCTGCCTCAGAGATGTCCAGTAACGTAGGACAGCCCCAGTCCCACCTACCTCTCCCCATCCCCACAAGGATGAACCCCTTCATGGGCTGGCTGAGTGTGAACTCAGCTTGAGTCCATAGAGCAGGTTCATTTGTTGAGAGCATCCAGATAACAAATCCAAAGCGGCAACAGCACTTGTGAGCAAAGCCATGAATCTTGCAAGTTTCTTCCTGGCGTCCCTCTCTGGGTCCATTTTGCGCATCCCATACAGGGTTGCTATGGGTCAAAAACGACTCAACAGCACTTAACAACAACCATGAACGGCTTGGATTTGAGCACTAGTTCTAAACCTGTGTCATGGATGATGATAGAGGGGCACATCTGACTCCTTTCCTCCCTTCTGTGTAGAGGAAGGAGATGACTTCAGTCTCCAGAAGAAAGCAGTGACACGCCTAGCCCTCTCTCTAACCCCTCTGATTATTGAGGCTGGGGAGGACATCCTGTTCACTGGACCATAGTCACCTATGGGCTGAGCCACTGTCCAGCAAAGGCAATGGGGTTTCTTCTCTGGGACCCATTTGCCCTTACATGGAACATGTTTTCCTTCCCTGATGAACAAACCAAGGCAGATCTTCCCCCAAGTGTGAATGGTGTGGAGGTGTGTGTTGTTGGAGGAGCTGGGCCAGTGAGGAGTCTGCTCCTTCACCTTCTCAAGGATAGATGCATCAGGGTAAGCAATGCTAGCTGGTCTAACAATTCCAGATCCCAGTGTTTCTCAAAATGAGAAGACATACCTGAAACACCCATTAATAATCGGTATATGGAATGTAAGAAGGAAAATTGGAAGTTGTCAAAAATGAAATGGAATGCACAAAATCTATATCCTAGGCATTAGTGAGCTGAAATGGACTGGTACGGGACATTTTGAATCCAATTATCCTGTGGTTTACTATGCTGGGAACTTTAAATTGAAGAGGAATGGTGTCGTGTTCATCATCATAAAGAACATTTCAAGATCTGTCTTGAGGTACAACACTGTTTGTGATAGGTTAATATCCATAGGCCTACAAGGACAACCTGAAAGTGCAGTGGCTCTGTAGGATAAGCACTGGAGTGCAAACCACAAGGTTGGTGGTTTGAGCCCATCAACTGTTCCTCAGAAGAATGATGAGACTTTCTGTTCCTGAAGGATTTACAGTCTTGAAAACCCTGTACTGGGTCACTATGAGTTGGGACCAACTCGACAACACTTAACAACAGTGGCTTAATCCAATGAAAGTCTATTTCACTTCACCCAAATTCAAGTGTGGGTACTCCAGTCAGAGAGGCCCTCCTGGCCAGTCCACCTTCAAGCGGTAGCCTAGGGAACCTGGTCTCCTTCCACACAGTGGGGTCACCGTTTTTAACATGTGGCTCAATGCAGCTGGCAATTCAGGCAGAGAGACAGTGTATGAAGAAAACACACCCACTCCTAACTGCCTTGGACAAGAGTGAGTCAGGTGGCCTTGCATATTCAGTGGAGGGAATATGCTGTATTTCTTATGGCCACTGTAACTAAGTGCCGCAAACTGAGTGGCTTAAAATGAAGCAAATATATGGATTCTCTGAGTTCTGGAGACCAGATGTCTGAAATCAGCTGCACTGGGCTGAAATCAAGGGGTCAGCAGGGCTGAACTCCCCTTGGAAGTTCTAGGGGACAATATGTTTTTGTTTCTTCCATCTTGTGTGCCTGCTGCCGTTCCAGGCTTTATGGCCACATCACTTCCATTCCAAGATCAGATCTTTAAAGTCCTCTCTGACTGTCTTCACATCTCCTTCTCTCTGTGTATAACCTTTCTTCTCTTATAAAGATACCAGAGCATGTGATTGCATTTAGGACCCACCCAGATCATCCAGGCTTCTCAGTAGAAGTCCAGGGCCATGAAATCTAGGCAGGACAGGACTTACACTGATTAAGCACTGCAGTCTGCACTCTCATTTGATCCTCCTGACTACCTTCAAGGCAAGGAGCTCTGGTAGCGTAGTGGCTACGAATCGGGCTGTGAACCTTAAGGTCAGCAGTTCGAAACTACCAGC